TTCCTCTCTCCCCACCATGTCTTCTCTGTGCCTTTACTTGTAGACCTCTAGAACCTCAATCTTTGAGTTCTCTCTTGAAGTGTCACATTCAATGTTTGTGTTCAGTTCCTTGGAGAAGCATCAGGTGTTGCTGCCAGTGCTCAAAGCCTCGGATCCATCTGTAGAGAGAAAATGAGCAGCATAAATTCCCAGTTTGTGTATTAGCTAAAAAGGTAGCTAGTCTCTGCTATTTCTGTATGTGGGATCCTCAGTCTGAATGTGGGCTCATTACTCTATTGAATTATATATCAGAAGTAATTTCTTTTCCTGGGAAGTGAATCCTACATACATGCAAATCTATTCCAAAATGAATTCCTCCCGTCTCTCAGATGTTGCTTTTGCCTTGGCTAGTCTTCAGAAAAACAAATTGTCCAATTAAATTCACCAATGGTTTTGCCCCCCATTTAGAAATGAGAGGAGGTCATAGATTTAGCACATTTTCTGGATGCTGAGATTCATATGCAGAATGTTGAAGGAGCAGCAGCTTTCCTTAGCAGCCACTCTCTTATGCTGCCCTTAAGCATCCTGGATTGATGCATTTTTCATTTTGCAATGCAACTGAACCTTTCTGTGCTGGTGCTTCAGCAAAGCTGTAATATCTCCAAACCTAAAAAAAGGTTAGGTTAATTTCAGTTACAGGAGTACTAATGCCAGGCTTGTTTCCTTAACAGTCTGTTACATGCAATAGGCAAGGACTGTGCTGTTTGAGGTGAATACAGCACAAACTCCTGTGCAGATCTGCCCACTTCAGACATGTCAGTGGAAGCCAGATGAATGACACTGTTTCAGGCATGGACCAGAGCAGTGGGAAAAAGGCTAGCAAGAGTTAAGGATTTATTGGAATAATGAAAAGTAGATTTTCTCCCTTCCCTGCCAATCCCTTTTAAAGAAGTCTCTGAGCAGAAACAAAGGCTTACTGTCCACCACCATTTACTATGTCACTTCTTTTCACAGATTTCTGTGCTGTTTTTGTCACGTCTGCAGTTATTCCATTTTCCCCTGTTATTCTCCATCCTTTCACTCTTCTGAACTTCACTGTATTCCTCTACAAATCACCTTTTTGTTTTTAAGCTCCTGTCTGCCTCTCAACGTTTCTGCATTTTTTGTTACCATATTTCTATGGAGCATCTTTGTTCTCACTGTATATCTTAAGCCCAGTTTCTTCAGCAGTTTCCTTCATCTCACTGCTGCTGGACTTCCTACATCTTGTCCCCACTGTGTCATTTTCAGTCACAAATGGAAGGCTGAGCTGCAAGGCTGCAAGAACCCTAGACTTCCACACAGAAGTGCTGTAGACAAATACAGATGCCCAATTCCCGATGAGGTTGGCAACCTTCTGATGTTATTTTTGAGTCTGGAGAAATATTATGTCCCACAGGCACTTAAATAGCTGGATGTTGGATCAAGTTTGAGTTGGCTAGTAACAGTTTTGCATTGCTTTCTGCCCCTTACACAGCCTTGATGATAGGTAGAGGTCTTGCCTGAAGGGCAGGATGGCTCCAGATGAGTTGGGGCAGTTAGGTGGGCATCATTTGTGCACTATATTTTTCCTAGAAGCACTGCTTAGTATTTCTTATATTGCTGAATTGTATTCAGCAGTAGTACAATTGGAGTATGATTATGATACTCCAATAATAAGCAGTAGGGAGTTCTTTACTTAATCCCACCATATTCTTTAGTTGTTTCTAACTTCAGTTTGCATTCTACCTCCTAAAATGCAGATTGACTCAGTTCTACCTCTGCAAGCTCTACCTTGCACATACCTGCCACACAGAACTAGTACAAATGATGCGATCCGCCTTTTAAATCTTCAATGAAGTTTAGCTGTACAGGATTACAATTCACTGGTTAGACTAATATTACACTTTAATTTCAGGAATTCAGGAGAATGGTGGGAATCTTCAAAGATTTCCTCACTTCTCCTGAACTTATTCTCCAGGTACTGAAAGGATCTCAATGCATAAGTTTTATACAGTTGCTGCTTTAATGAGAGAATTTAATGGTACCAGGTGCATTCCTTGATGACTTCTGTTTGCTCTTTTTATCATGAATTTAACATTATTCTTTCAGAGTACATTTTTGCAATCACAAATATGCTCTTTTTGTTTACACAATCATGGTCTTGCAAGTCAAAAGGGGCAGAGATGATCACTTGAAACATTTCTTACAGAATAAACATTGGCAGCCAAAGGTGAGGATGAGATTCTCAGTGCTTCATTAGCCCAGATGTCCTGGAAAAGGGCACTAAGAGCTCCAGAACTTGGGTAAAACGCAATTCTTGGAAGTAAATGTAAGCTGTCGCCTACCTAACAGGTTTAACAGCAGGAGAGGTGTCTTAGGGAATGCTGCAGCCTTGGAGCATTGATTCAAATTGGTGCTGTTGTCACAGGCAACAGACAAGTACCAGTGCTCACCTGAAATAAACCTCTGCACTGAATTAAAACATGGCCATCATGCCACTATGCCTGCAGTGACCTGTGTGGACAGGTGGCTGAAAAAAGCCATCCCCAAATCCTTTTCATGCTAAAAGCCTTTGTGTTTTTTCCAACTGATGGAATTCCATTTGCATCTTACTGGAGGCTCTTATCTCAATCTCTCTCCCTGCCGTCCTGCAGTCATATGAATTTAGTTGCATGTAGAGCTCCTGATCATCACCAAGGAATGACCAAGGTCTGGGAGATAAAACCTTTTTTTCTGGGGACTTTTTGTCCTGGTAGGACTGTTCTCTCTGTATGAAGGGAAATGTGTTATTCTTCAAACTTTGATTTCTCACCTGCTTTTTAGGCAGTGAACTGAGCACTGATGGCCTTGGCTCTTGAAGAGGAATATCCTGTGTTTTAGCCTCACTGCAGGACTTCAGCTCTAACACCCTGGTGTATCTACAGTTCAGGACTAGGAGCAGGTGAGGATGCAGCTAAGTTTGTACCTCATACTTATCAGAGAGACTTCTCCAAGAGTCACTAGATTTGAAGTTTTTCAGAAAAACAAGGATCACACTGTTGGAGTCAGTGCTGTGAACATAAATTCTCACCAAGCACTATGTAAATATTAAAAGTAAATTAATTTATATAGCACTTTAAATACTATATAAATTCAACCTCGAATGAAAGTCCCATTCCAAAGATTTATAAAGAACTTGTACATTTTGGACTGGGGGAAAAAAACCCATCCCTCCTTTTTAAGTAAAGGGAAAAGCCTAACTCAGAATTGTCTTGTTATTTACTCCTGTATTCATATTGCACATTAAAATACTTACATAAAATGTGCCAGTTTTCAAAAGCAACTTGTTACTCTGTTTTTCAACTGAACTTGGCCAGACTAAAAGGAGAATTATATATGCCAGAGGACTGCAGTAAAAGAGATTTAAGGGTTTTCAAAGAGTGTAAGAAAGAGACTATAGTAAGTGACCAGTGGAACAATCAGCAATTTTAATTAAAACAGGGCTGCTTATTGATCTGTCATACAGATTTACCCCATCTGCAATATTTCAGCAATGTTCCTATTTCAGAAAACAGCACTTGTAAGAGCCAGTAAAGAATATGGAAGTTAAGAATGGAAATGTTTTGTAACTGGGACATTCTGTGCTGAGATCTTTTTCTATCCCATTTAAGCACCTCGCGAATCTTCACACAAAAATGAAAGCAAATGTATGGAATCTATAGGATAGTCTACCCTCGTCTAGTGGAAGGTGTCCCTGCCCATGGCATGGGTCTGGGACGAGATGAGCTTTTCCAACCCAAACCATTCTGTGATTTCCATGATATTGCTTTTCTAACTTAATGCCAATGGGCTCACTGCACGTCAGTGTGAAAAAAAATCCATCAAGTCTAAAATATATTGGTATTTTTAAAGATCTTATGTTCTTGAAACAAGTGGGATCTCTAGCAGTTGTGTCTTCAAGGTGGTCATTTGTCATCCCTGAGCTGACTGACCTACATTTCCATTGGGAAAACCAAGGAAAGTACTAAAAAGGGACTAATAAATGCTCTGCACACATATGGAAGGTCTGTGGTATCAGCAACTGCACTTGGTAGATCTGCTTTTTTCCTGAAGAGTTTGCTTATTTTAAAATTCTAATTATTTTTAATTTCCATTTTTAAAGTAGCATGATGAAATTAAAATACCCTCAATGCAAATTTGGCACAAAAACCTGGTTTTAAAGCCAGAAATGTGTCCTGAAATAGCAGCACTAGCAGTGGCAGAACATCTGCACTGGAAGGAACTGCTCTTGTGCTCTGATTGAAAAGAAACACAAATTGAAGGTGGTGATGGTGATGTGTCTGTTTTTTAATTAAATGCATGTTATTTAAAGTTTATGGAGAGCTGTGCTGTGTTTACAGAGCAGCTTGTGTGGCAACACAGGTGATGTCTCCCAGGTCATGTCTGGTGAGCACCTGGTGTTGGCAGAAGGATGAAGCCATCAAGATTGTCATTCTTATCGTTCAACAGCTGTATTTTAAGAAAAAAAAAATAAAGAAGGACATATGTGTTGAGTTTTATTATGAAACCCAAATGGCTGGGAACTTGATGCTTGCACATGGGTCGAGAGCTTTGAGAAATCGGGGATAGATGTAGAGACAGTTTTTTGAGTGGGAAACATCATTGTTTTATTTTCAGATGAGGAAAACGCCTCATTAGGCTTTTATTAGCCCAGAATGTTCCTGCTCACCGCAGTGGTGAGGTGGAGCGTTTAGCCTCCAAATGGCCATACAAACCACGGCCTTTTCCGGGGCTCGCTTTGCGCAGTTTTCCCTCAGGCCTGGTGTGGCAAGGCCCGACCAGGCCACGCCCCAGCCCTAACTGTCCCCCCACGGCTCCCGTCAGCGCCGGCCGCCATTTCCCGCCGGGGGGCGGCTCCACATGCCCTGCGCCTCGCCCCATTGGCTGGAAGCGTTGCGGAGGTGCGGCTAGCTGCCGCCTCTCGATTGGCGTGTGCGGCTGTCACTCTTGGCGGAGGCGGGGCCTGGCGAGGCGGGTCCCCGCAGGGGCTCTGCGGCCGCAGTTGCGCTCGGGCGGCGGCGGGTGATGGCGGCGGTGATGGGCTCTGCGATGTTGCCCCTCTTGGCGCTTCTCGGGCCCGCGGCCGCGCTCGCCGGATACATCGAGGTGTGTGAGGGGTGTGGGGGAGGGCTCCCCCGGGGTACGCGATGCATAGGCGGGAGGTAAGCGGGATTCGGGGTGTCTCGGCTGGTGTGGAGCCGCCTGGAGATTGTCCAGCGTCTTTGAGACCTTCCCGGGGTGGTGAGTTCGTATTTTACCGGTGTTTTCGCGAAAGCCGTGTCCCTCAGGCCGCTCATCTGGACGGGAAGCTCCGTCTCACCGGGATGCTTGTGGCTGTTTTTTTGGGGACGTGACCTCGGCATTCTTGGCACGGGAACAGGAGCGGCCAGCTCAGATGGGTCCAGAAGCATTGAAGACTGTTAGAGGGCTATTCCCTAGAGAAAAATCTCGGTTGAACGAATCCATTTGGTTGATGATGGATCCAAAATAAATCTTTGCGTTGGAACTGGTACCTCGGCATTCGGGGAAGATGCTTCAGCCAAGTGTAAAGGCTATGCATTTCAAATAGAAATGGCTTAGATGCCCATAGGAGTCTGTGTTTGTATGTGTGTGTATATATAAATACACACATGCGCACACATAAACGAGTATATATTAGTTTTGTGTGTACGAAACGCGTATTGTGTTTGCATATATGAAAATAACTGGACAGAGGAAATTCCAGCTTTTGCCTAAATCTAAGAGCTCAGTATAATCTAGCTCTCCAAACAACAAGATGAGTAGGAGAAAATCTTGTGAGTTTAAAAACTTGATACTATAACTTGTCTTATTAGAGGGAAGGAGAAAAACAAGGAGCTAAGTATGTGCTGAGCTTGAGAAATGGCACGTAAACAGAGTTTAATAATCTGAATGTTGTTTGGAAATGCAAAACAGCTGCATCAGTCTTGTGGAGGTTCTGGGTTATTTAGGGCTGGATAAAGAAAAGGCTGGTGGCTGTTTGTGAATGGCTTGATATGAGAGTTTACAGTAAATTTTAGCAGGCTTGGTTAAACAGAACATCTACCTCAGTGTGATGCAAAAATCTAATGCTCTAAGCTGGTGGTAATTCCTAACTGGCAGTAAACTTGGGTATTTTTAATATATGTTGTACGAAATTGGTCTGGTCTGAGATTTCTGCTTGTTTGGTTGCTATTGAGGAGTACTATTCCGCGTACTTTGTACCAATCTTTCTGTTAAATTTCTGTAAATCAATGGGACATGGTTGATAACGATTTGTGGAACAACTCGTGGGGAGGTTGTCTTGCAGGAAGGATGGTGGAGCTGCTCTGAGGGCACGGAGCTAATGCCCAGATCAGGTTCCTTGGCATTGCCTTGGTGGCAGGGGACTGCCTGGTGCTGCATCCAATCTCCTGCACCTGTTTGGCAACTCCTCCAGCTGTAGGTCACTTCCTCTCTTACATCCGAGACAAATTTGGCTGCTATGCATATCCCTTCTGGAATCTGCTGCTCAGGGACATGTGCCATGAAAAATCAGCTTGGAAAACAAATCTAGCTGTCACTTTATTCCAAGGCCCATTGGTGTCTGTGTGATGAAACAGATCCCAAGTTTTGCCCGTCCCAGGACTGGCAGAGAGGGAGAGTGGCTGTGTCACACGTTGTCACTCCAGGAGGGGCCAGCAGTCCCAGAGAGGGGGTCACTGACCTTTTAGAGAAGGATTAAAATGAAAATGTTCCTGCAATTCAGTTTGCTTCCTCTGAAGGCATGATAGCCGCCTTCGTCTGCTGGCATAAAATGTCAACTCTGGTATTTTAATCCTTATTTTTGCTGCATTCTTTCCCATTGTCTTGTCGGTGGGGAACTGCAGCTCTCAAGTCTTTTATCGCTGTCAGATTTGCTCAAGAACCACTCTCGATGCAGAGCTTAGGAAGTAAATAGTTTTGTTCTGGGTTTTACACTGTGGTCATTACTGGATTTTACCAGCTAATGTGATGAAAAATATGCAAGCAGTTGGTTTTTGTAAATAATCAAGATGTCATTTGAAAGTTATGGAGAACATGTAACAATGTCTGCAGTTTTTAGTTCAGCTGGATTGGCATGGTCCCATTAGGTGGATTTTCTGTCTCTTGATTATCTTAGCTCCCATTCCCTGTCCCTGGAACACCCGGTAATCGTCTTATCAACTACAATCTGTTTTTCTTTCTGTGCAGGGCAGAGCAAGGGGAGTGGTAGTTTATTTTTTTCTCTTAAATTATTGTATCTGAACTCTTGACTAGGGCGTTCCCAAGGGTTGGTGCTGGTGACAGTCGGTCTCCCTTTCAGATCGTAGTGTGGGGATGGCTGATAACCTCTGACAGTCTCTCTTCCAAATGAATATGAGTAGAAGAGTTTAGAGAAACCATGGATCCCAGCAATTATTGTGTTTCTTTCCATAGCAGTATGTGTCTGAATTTTGCTTGTTTTGATTGTGAAGTCCCCAAGAAACTCAAACAGGACGCTGATGCCAACTGGAAAAAGAAAATAAATCTATGCTAATTAGATCTGTATTCCAATGATAAACTCCTTCTGCTGTGCCCTCAAGACCTTTGAAGGTGCAAAGTTTTTTTTTATTACTTGACTTTTTTGTGTAATCAAATTGAAGGCAATGCAGACTTGATATGGCTTTTTTTTTTTAATAATGTTTGGTATTTTTCCAAAGCTCTCTTGTATGCTTACATCTGTTACCTGCCTGCTCAAGTCACCAGGATTTGGGGGAGAGGGGAAAAAAAGGGTGTGTTTTGCAGCAGAATTTCATGCTATTATTTTTGTCTCGTATTGCTTAAATTCTCCTTGGCAAAAATATCAGCCTTGTGCCATTTCTGCAGACCTTGGGGACTTCTAATTGCCTGCGGCATCAAACAAAGAACTCCACCTAGGGAAATTTCCACTTCGGTGTTTGAATCCTGAGCAGAAGCAGCTCAGGAAAATTCCAGCCTTGAGCCTGTGGCCTTTAGTTTGCTCTCAGTTCCTAAAACTTTGCTTCTTGGTGTTAGGAAATACAGCTTCCTATGAAGGTGATAATATGCAGTGCCTCTTCTAAGCTTCAGTAAAAGCTCCTCTGGAACAAAGATATGGAAATAAATCTGATACTGCGGGGAGGCTCTGGATTTTCTGCTGCAGTGTAGGATGGCACGTGATGATAAGTGCTTCTTTTTGGAGGATGCCTTCAGCTCTCCTTGTTTCACCTGTGAAATAATCATCACCTCTATTAAATGTTATTTAGGCATTAATAGCTCTACCAGGGATTGAATGACTTTTTTGTTAAAGTGGTCGTTGCATCACCTGCAAGTAACTCAAAAACTGTTCTGTAGGTGGCTTTAGCTGTATTATAATTACACACTGCTTCTCCTCCAGCTCCTGGGAGTCCAGGGAAGGATTAGTGCAGTTCTTGGTGCTCTGCTCCAGTTGTGCTTCTCTCTAGATGTGCCTTGTAAAACTTCTGCCATTGCTTTTCCCTGTGTGTGTCTTGGAGGTGTACGGGCTCGATCTTGGGAAAATAAGTCACTTGATTGCAGCCTCTGCTTCTACACGAGTACTTAAACCAAGGCCTTGTTCCTCAGCTGAAAATTGAAGAGAAGTACACCATTCCCATCTATTTCTTGTTAGAAGGCAAAGCCTTTCCCTTTCTTTTTTTACACTTTGGCGTTTCAGACTCTGCTTTTAACTCCTCAGGCTTTCGAAATTGATGCAATCCCTGGGTCTCTTGTGCTTCTTCTGTGCAGTAAAACTTGGTGTCATTGTTTTTAGCTTCAGGCAGTCAGTGCCTCTGAAACTTGGTGTTAATTTAAGATGATACTTGCTCTTATTTGGAAGCCTTTCAATATTTACAATGGCCTAGAAACCCTTCTGGTAAGGCTCTTAATTCAGAATTGCACTTGAAAATGCAAGATTGACCCCTCCCCCCCTTTTTTTCCCCTCCAAACTGTTGTCTGCCCCCATTATAGGCATGTTATGCTTTCTCTACTTGCAGTGTGTTTATCACAGTGAAATGGCATCTCCTACCACAGGTTTTACTTGCTGGGTATCTTAAATGGAGTATTTAGGGCTTTGTGACTATGCATTAAGTATATTCATGTTATCGTTTGCTTTTGGGTAGTTCCCTTTTCACCTTTTTCCTATAGGTGCCAGTAAGTCTCAGGTTTGTGGGGAGAAATGGGTTGACAACATTGTGCATAAAAATTTACAATTTTTCCATACGTAGATGTATACTTATTATGTGCTTACTAGTGTGAGTTACAAAGTAGTTAAGAAGGAAGATGTCAGTTAATTGTCAGGTTCTTTTTATTGTGAATTATCCAAAATGACTTGTTTTTTCTGGTTTGGAAAGGTTGATGGCTCCTCCTCAGATACAATAGGATCAAGATAATTTTAGCCTGTTAATACTGTTACTTGTATGGGGCAAGTGACTGGTGTTGTTGGAGCAGCACTCTCACTCCTGAGGGGCAGTGCACAGGGAAAAGTGCATTTTGGGATGCATAATTTGACTGGGGTTGTCTTTGAGACTAGTTTCCCAACATGAGATTTGGCTTTTTTTCATTTATGAATTTCTGCAGCTGTAAGCAGGGAGATATATATGCATGCACACACACACATTTCACATGGAGATCTAGCTTGTGAATGACAGTGTTTTTTTTTTAACTTGTTCAGCACTAGATTTACTACTTCCACCTCTGTCTGCCTTCTCAGTTTCTCAGTTGGAGTTAAATATATATTTGTGATTGCATGTTCTCTAAGCTATGCTACCTTATGGGAGGACATGGAAAACCTACATACCAAAGAATACAGAAGTGCAATCTACCTTTTAGCCTGGCTTTTAAATGTCCATTGGTTCTAATGCTTGCCCTGAAGGATTGATGTTTAAAACGCAAAATTCTGTCTTTATGTGCATTTGTAAGAGTTTTAAGTTACAACCTAAGATGAATGATCGAAACACCAATGTTCTGCAAATGATGTTAAACTAATCTCCCTGGCAGCCAAACCCAGCCTGCTTGGCTTTATGTAATCAGGTGTCCACCTGATCAGGAGCACATGTGGCTAAGCTGCTTACCAGCTTTTCATTTGGAGGTAT